GGGGGGGGGGGGGGGGGAGAAGGGCGGGGCGGCCGCAGCGCGGGGGCGCGGAGGAGACGGGTGTTTAGGGGGGGTGAGGTTTGGAGGCCGACGTACGGGACATACACACGCGTGCGCGCGTGCACACACACACACACACACACACACACACACACACACACAGAACCCATACAAGCCCCGCTGCAGCCAACGCTTGCGAGTCACCCGAAGTTTCTAAATGTCCTCGTTCCGCCAGCAGCAGCTGCTGGCTGGGTGTAACGGGACGGCCTGGCCTGCTTTTTTCCAACCTGTCCATCCGCCCGCCCCACGCACCTGCTCGTACACCTTAAGCACATCGGGGTCGGGGTCGTCCATTTTGTCCAGCGCAGCCAGCTCCTCGCGCGTCAGCTGGGGGCCACAAGTGGTTGCAAGGCCGGGCGCGGACAGCGGGGCGAAACGATAACAGGCAGCAGGGAGTGGGGTGGCAAGGGGTTCGTCGGAGGCCGGGCGCGCCGGACATGCTAGCAGAGTGGAGAGTGGAGAGCTGCAGGATGAAGCCGCTTCCCCAAAGCACCCGGCCTCTCAGGGAGTGGCACCCCGGGGGTGGGGGTCGGGACCGCTGGTGTGCTGCGCTGCGAGGAGAGACCTGCGGTGGGCTCTGCAGCCGTGGTATCGCCAAAGGGCAGCTGGATGCGCATGTACTGTCCCTCTGGCAGGCGCAGGAGGCCATCTGGACCGCAAAAGGAGACATGCGCACATGGGATGACGCAGATTATCACATGGTCGATGTGGTAGCGGATGGGTGGTGGGCAAGGGTGACGGCAAGCTGTCTACCTGCAAAGGTAGCCAGCGGGACCACTATCAAGGATCACCATCGCGGGTAAACGCATCATCAGACATCCTAAATGACTCACAGTAGATCAGCCTGAGTATGCTCTGCTTGTCCTCTCCGTTGACCGCCATGGTCAAAGACACAAGGTCCCCAAGCAGCGCCAGGGCTCTCAGCAGCCCGGTGATGGGGCCGCCGCTGAAGGGGCCGTCATGCAACGCGCCCCACGTCTGAGACTGGCCGGTGCCTGCCAGGGAATTTGGTTGCCGGTGCCGTGGGCCGGCCGCGGGCGAGCTTGGCGGCCGCCAGCATGCTGATAGTTGCTGTGTACAACCTGGTGCACATTTTACCCCCCAAACCAGCGGCACACACGATCAACTCTACTCCAAACAGCGCTTCGAGCATGCACGAAATCATGCAGTGCGGCGTCACAAGCAGGCAGCCTGGAATGCGTGTGCCGCCGGCATGACAGGGGTGCAGGTGCACATGCCCAATACGCCAGATCACTTTCAGCCCTGGGTACAGCAGCCAGGAGCAGCGCACCGACGCTGAAGACCGCGGTGTCCACAAAGGTGAGGGGCTTGGGCGCGGCGCCCGGCAGCTCGCCCTTCCTGACCGCCTCGTGTTGCGCCTGGCGGCGCGCCCCCCACAGCATCAGCATCAGCCCCACGCCCATCCATGTCGGGTCGTTGTTGGCCAGGCCGCCGTCGACAAAGCTGGGGGTTGGAGGGAATTTGAGAGGCGGCGGCCATGAGCGGCGTGAATTGGAGATGCAAGGGGAAGTTTCACCTGACGTGGGTCATGGATAGGAGTGGACAGAGCCGATGCAATACTATTGACAGGTGCGGGCACACGCCTTGTGTTTCGTTGTGCATGTAAAAACAAACACGCACACACGCACACATGCATACACACACACGCAGATACACACAAATGTGCAGGCAATACAATGCATCATCAACACACACACGCACACATGTGTGTGTGTGTGTGTGTGTGTGTATGTGTGCGCGCGCGCGTGTCCATCCCATGGGTTCGCGGTGTCGCCGGTGTCGCCGGCACGACGCCTTTCGGCTCTTCCAAGCGATTGCGCCCGGTTGCCGGCTTACGTGCGCGGGCGTGGCCAGGAGCCGTCCTCCTTTGTGAGCCCGTCAGAAGGCGACACCTCAGCGGCTGCAGGAAATTCACAGGAATGGCAGGTGTGAGGTTTGGTGCGGAACAAGTGAGATGTGAAGTTACGCGTTAATTGATCTTGTGCGCCAGGAATCATGGCAGATTTCACATGAGTGAGGGTGCACCCGGGCACGGCGTGCGGCGCTGCAGCTAGCTAGCCAGCTGGCAAGCTGGCTAGCGTCGTGCACCACGGTGAATCCTAAACCCCAATCCCCTCCGACTCACGTGGCAGGAACCCGGGGGCTGCGCTGGTTGCACGCGCCACCTGCCACCTGCGGACCGTCGCAGGCGGCGGCGACAGTTTGGCAAAGGCGGCCCCAACATTACTTCCAAAGGTTGCTTGAGGGTTTGGTTTCTGGTTCTGCTGAAAACATGCCAAAACATGCCAACATTGCCGTATCTGACCACCTGGATACACGTGTTGATGCGTGGAGCTGTGTGCAGACATTGCTGCACGTGTTAAGCATGTCGGGCGGCACGGTCCCAGCAGGCATGTCCCGACACCCTCTTAGCGCAGCACGCCCGCTCACACGTAGAAGTCGTGCAGGGTCAGCTGCATCGACGGCACCCATAGCTTATTGCCCTGGGCGTCCACCCCGGCCCGCGCCGTCTCCACATTCACCAGGTCGAGCTCCCCAAGACTTAGGTCGGCCACAGTCATGGCCTCCACCTCTTTGCGGGTCATGGGGCTCTGGATGCGCACGAGCGCCTGCGGGGTCCAGGCGCGAGGCACCCAGCATGGCCCCGGTCCTGGGGCGACCAGCGGCGTGATACAAACTCTGTCCATGCCGCCCGGTTTCACGATGTTGCCGGCATATTGCATGCACAGTTGTTGGGTGACAGAACGAACCCTGAGCCATCCATGAGCAAGCAATGGCGCCCCAGCAGCCGCGTTCCACCCACCGTGTCGCCCATCGTTGAAGGGCGCAGCGGAGATGTGAAGCCGCTGGTCTTCAACGGCTTTGAGGGGTCCTTCAGGGGGTTGCGCACTGTGGGGAGCCGCGAAGCACGCTCGCATCATAATTTAAGGGATGTACAGAGCAATGCGGCAAACACACGCTAGGAATTCGAGGGGTTGCTGCGAAATTCTCGGCCCATGATGACACCCTTGGATCCCAACCCTAGCCGGATCAATGGCACAGCAGGCTCCCTGTGCTTGCGGGCGCGGGCCCACCGTTCTCGTAGAAGAAGAGGCCGGAGCGCGCCTTGCTGGCGTCGACCGCGGTGATGGCCACGGGCGTCTTGAGCGCCGTCTGCAGAGTGCTGTGAGGGGGGGGACGCGGGGCAAGAGGCAAGGGGCAAGCGCCCGTCAAATAGGACAAGGAGGTATATGAGCCTCAGGCAAGCGTGAT